CACCCATTTACCTAAATTCATTACTTCAGAGTTATGTGCCCTCTACAGCGTATTATTGTGCTATCTCAGAGGCACAAAATCACTTTCACAGACTTTTTCATTAACTGTTCCCTCCTGGTGGAATGACCTGTCCAAATCAATCCGAGCAGCTGAGTCCTTAACCATCTTCAAGAAACGACTAAAAACACATCTGTTCCACCTTTATTTGACCCTCTAACTCTAACACTTTCTATTCTATTGTAATTCTACTTTATATTTATCTTCTTTTTAAATGTTTTTTTTAAACAACAAAAAACAAACAAACACTAACTTTCTATTTTTCTATTCTATCTACTTGTTTTTCTTTGTGTGTGTGTGTGTGTGTGTGTGTGTGTGTGTATATATATATGTGTGTGTAGTATAGTGTAGTGTGTGTGTATATATATATATATATATATATATATATATATATATATATATACACATACACCTTGCTACACGTACTGCATTAGGCTAATAGGCTAATGTCATTTGCACTTATATATTGTTGCTCTTTTGTTAGTTTTGACTGCTTTTATTGTCCTCATTTGGATAAACTTTGGATAAAAGCATCTGCTAAATGACTAAATGTAAATGTAATAGAATAGAATAGAATAGAATCGTGAAATTAAAACAGTACAGAGTAAACAATGGAACATTGCAAATGTTTACAAAACATTGCAGAAGTGTGTGTACTGTGTAGTTCTCTCTGAATCAATTATGATAACATGAATAATGATGATGATGCTAACAATTTGTACTCAGTATGATAATCATCTTTTATTAGTGGTTTCAATCAAGTGTATTTATGAAGGAATTAATTCATTTTAAACATTCATTCATTCATTTTTGCTTAATAGTCGTTTGCGTTTTTAGTCCAAATGACTGAATGAATCATAGTGTCGTGGACTTCATTTCCCACAATGCCTAGCTTTATCCCGCGGGCGTCATACCCGGAAAACCGTACAGTTATAAAGTCCAGTGTGTTTCGTTTCAGAGAAATGTTGATACACTTATTAGAATAAATGCACAAGAGTCCAAAAGAAGAACAGGATGAGTGTCTCGTTCTCTCAGATCATCTGGAGAGTTTGTAATTTATGCATGTCAGTGTTTTTCTCGCTGGCAACTTACGTGCAGGTAAATGTTATTCTCAGTTTATTTGCACACATTGAATGAGCGATGGTCGTCAAATGAAGCGCTCGTTTATGGACATAAGACATGATCAGTGATAATTAATCGCTGATTTGTTTGATTATCTTCAGATAAATGATCCGGATGCTGTCTTGTGGATGGTAAGACTCACTTTCACCTCAAATGAGAAACATTTCTGCCGCTCTAAAACATATATGTGTGCTCCTTATATAATGCTGTGTTTGTTTCTGCAGGCTGGTTATGCAGTTCCAGCTGGACTGTGTTTTTTGCTTTGCTGTCAACCACAAATAACAGGTAAGTGAAGTTTCTCATGAATCAAAATGAGACGCGATGCTCCCATCTAGTGGAGTAGAAATACACCAAAAAATTACAGGGTTATAAATATAATAAATATTTTTTTACATTCGAGTTTGGTATTGTCTGATAAATAAAATATATATGAAATTATATCATACATCATAAAGACAATGATATGCAATATTTACCTCATTTATTTACCACATAAAGCTCAATGTTTTGCATTAAAAAGACGATACAAATAAATGTACAAACAAATGTATGTATGCAAAACAGTATATTCAGAAGACACAAGACGTGAGTTTCAGTCTGCATGCATTTTTCACATACAAAATGCCACTTCTCAATCGCCATAAGAGATTATGGTAGATTGTAGAGTTATAAATTGATGTTATTACCTTTCCAGAGTCACTATTATGGAGGCGAATGGCTGATCTGCATGTGCTTGTAGCCTCTGCGTTTGGAGTCATTCTGGGCTGGAAACTTTATAAAGAGGGAATTACAGACATTTTCCAGCAAGAGGAAGGAAGGTAACCATTCAGAGGAGTTTTGACCAATATTCTGTTACATTAGGAGAATAAAACCGATTATGTTATCATAACAGAGAATGTTCTGGACTCCTGCTGACGGTTTTCTGGCTGCTGTTGTGTCGGCATTCAGGAAGGTAAATGCATTACTTTATGATTTTAACATCCGGAAATGCTATTCGGTTGACTGTGACTCGGTATGAATGTTTTTCAGCTGTATTATGGTCATGAATGAGTGTTTGTGTCCTGTAGGAGTTCTGTGGGCTCTGTCAGGATCTGCACTGCTGTGGGAATTACTGTGTTTCCCTTCATCACGTGGATCTATTACTACATGAAC